ATAGGTTAAGTGGATATTCTTCAATATAATTTTAAAGCCAAAAATATAAAAAAGTGATTTTATTAGCAAAAAATAAGAGGACCAATAATTAGTAAAGTAATTAAAGGAAGAAAGGCACACATTCCTCATGTAGATTGCAGTACCTTGGATATAGGTAGGAAGATAAGACTAAGGACTTGTGGCCTCTCTAAGAGACCTATATACACTACTTGCAAGTCTTAGTGAGATTCAAATCTTTACTTTCTCAATCAAATTATCTTTGGAATAAAATATATTTTTATATTTTTATAATTTTATGTTTTATATTTTATATTTTATTTATAAAAAATTATTCATATAAAATTATATTTTAATATTTTTATTTTATTAGAAAGATAAAAGATTTTAAATTTTATATTTTATATTTTTAATTTATTTTAATATTAGATAAAAATCTAATAAATAGATTTGTTTTAGGAATTTATAATTATTTGATTGTATTTTTTTTATTAAGTTTTTTTCTATTTTTTTTATTATATCTTTGACTTAATACCACTAAATACATGTAATTCTTATTTAAAGCCATCTTGTAATTAAGGTTGATAAGTAAATTTTATCCTCACATTATAAAGTGGATTGTAAAATCTAATTAAAAGATTTAATAATATAAGGTTAGAAGAGATATATTAATCTTATTTTTTTAATTATTATAGAATTTAAATTAAATATAGAAAAAAATTATTTAAAGATTTAAACATGATATATGATATATCAAACTAATGTAATCTAATAAGTTGGATGATTAAACATGTATATTAATTTATATATTTTTTTAAAAAAATATAAAAAAGAGCAGATGAATTGCATAATATTTTATGGAACTTATGAATATGGCATGTGCATATGTACTAAGAAAAATCGTATGCTATTAATAAAAAAACTCTTATACAAAATTCTTCTTATTTAAATGATTTCAATATTTTTTGATAGAAGTTGTAGTGTTTAATTTTATTTTAATTTATAATTTTTATAATACCAATTAGAAGTTTTAATTGAAAAATATATATGGACAAAATATCAATTATAGCTTAGCTTTGAGATGTATTTTTAGGTTGTGGATAAATGTACATAAAAGGAGAGAATGAATATATTTTGAGTAAATTGTTGCTACTTTTTTTTAATATATTTTTTTCACATAGGAATAAATTAAAATTCTTAAGTTAAGGCATTTGAAAATTATTGATGATTACTTAAGATAGATATTTGCAATGATAATAGATAATTTTAATCTTTAGACATAATAGAATAGGTGTTATTAATTTGGAGGGTTATATTTTTATTATTATTATTGAAATGAGCAAAAATAAATAAAATAAGAAATTTATTTGACTTAAAATCTATTCTATATTGATTGTTAATAAAAATTATAAGTCAGCTCAATTATCTTAGTAACAAAAAGGCATATTATAGAGCAAAAAAAATATGTGTATATAATACAACTATCATGGAATGACCTTGAAAATTACTTATATTGCATTAAATTTCTTTAAAGTAGAGTTATAGACTTTGTAAAATTTGTTTTTGAGAAGAAACTAATTGATATATAAAAAATCGACTAAATATTATATAAAATTAATTATTAAATAGAACTTAAGTTTTAGTAGGCTTTCAAAGTTGAAATGTTTTGATATAAGTAAATTTGAATAAAAAAAAGTACATATAAATTTTTAGAATCATGCTTATAAGGCTGATTTATATAGTAGATTAAATTAGTAAGATATTAAATCTTTCTTATAAATATTAGCTAAAAAAATTTATTGAAGAACTTGTTGAATATTAAAGTACTTTAATAGAAGTGAATAAGAAAAAAAAAGTAATAATGGTATCTTACAAATGGATATTGCTAAATAAGTATGAATTTATTGAAATAATTAATTCAAAAAAGTAACCAAAGAGATTACAATAAATTTCTTTCAATTATTTTAGAAGCATGTCTATGATAAGAAAATTTCTAAATATAATTATTTTCTAAAATATATATATATATATATATATATATATATATATATAAAACTAAAAAATAAGTCTATATGTGTATATAACAGCTAAAATAACATTGTCAATATTCAAAAGTAATCTAGATATAAATCATAGATATATACCTACTATGATCGTTACTTAGATAAGTAGAATTAGGTAAAAGTAGATTAATTTTATAATACCTTCTAGAAAAGCTTCTTAGAAGCTATGTAGATGTTCTTTTGACTTTACATATGTTTATAAATAATTGATAGGTTAGAAACTTAGTCAACAAGCTATCTATGTGCCATATGTATTGGTAGCTTGCAAAACAAGCTAACTATGTAGTGGTCATAAAGAAAAATTGCCTTGCAAGTCAAGATACATGTCATGCAAAGTCAACTCATTTTTAAAGGTCTTATAGAATGTTGCCACATAGATCCCATGTAGAGAGTATATATAGAGAGAAGAATGAAGCCTTCTTCACTCTTGTCAACTCTTTTCTTGCTTCTAATCTAGATTCAAGGTTCTCTAATTTCTTTGTCTTTTGGCAATAACCATTCTAGTTTCTTTTTAATACATATATTACTTTATTTCTATTTTTTCACTTAATTTTTGACAAATTTTTTTTTGGTTTATGAATCTTCTTCTAGTTCATGTCTTTGATAGTATATAGAAAGTAAAGTAAAAAAAATTAATACACAAAGGTCTAGAATTGAATATAAATATTTATATTATTTTAAGATTTTTTTTATTAAAAAAAATTTGGATTTTGTTTCTTGTTATTATTGTTTTTAATATTTTATTATTTTTTAATAAATTTAGATATAGTGATTAACTTGGTCATATTTAAAAATACTCTTTTGCAAGATTATATGATTAATAAACTTATTGTTATTAAGAAGTCTTTAATAAAAAAATTTATGCTTATAAAAAATTTAAATATATATGGTTATTTGTATCAATATTTTTATTCAATTATTAATAAATATTAGAAAAAAGATCGAATATTTTTGCCACATGATTATCAGATGCTACCATAGTCTTTGGTATTTTTTAGATCTAAAAAAACAACAATGGTTGTTGGATTTTATTTAAGGATATTTTCGTCTAAATAATAATAAAAAAGTATTGTAAGTATCAAAAATATTGTTTTTGCACTAAAAGATTAAATTTACTATCAGATGGCAAATAAATCAATATTTTTAATTTAAATTAAATTCATATCTCATATATATATATATATATATATTTATATAAGCAAAGATTATAACTAAATAAATTATATCTAATAAATAATTAAATAATATTAATTCTAAACTATTTTTTTTATTAAATTGAATGGCACTAGTTAGAATACATGATATAATATTCACATTCAATCTAATATTTTATATACCAATTGATTGTCAAGTATTTGACATTTGGCTCTTTGCATATTTAAAAAATATATAATTATAGTAATATTCTAAAAAATATTGATGATAAATATGTAAAAAACAAATAATAATTTTTTAAAATAAATATATTATATATTAATAATATATTTAAAATTTATAATATATATATATTACATACCACAATTATATGTCAATATTTACTTTTGTTTATTTTGTACATGTATGTATATGAATTCAACTAATAACAATTATTTAAATTAATGAAACTTGAGATTTTATACCTTATATATATATATAAATATATATAAATAATTAAATATATTTATAAATATAGTTAATACTAAAATTATTTATAAAATATACTTTTGGGCTTTTAATTTTAAAGAGTGTGCACTAAAGTCAAACACAATTGTAACTAAACTACAAATTCTTACATTTTTATTTTTAGGAACTGATAATTTTACAAGTTAAGATAATAAGTTGACAATTTATAAAAATTTAATGATTCTAGATATTTTGTAATAATTGGTTTTTATTTTGTTCCATGTTTTGATTCATGATTTTGTCCTTTACAATCAAGTAAACTAACAACCTTTCGATGCTAAAGTAACCTTACAGAACCAAATTTGAACCATCAACTCCAACTATACATTTTGAAATATCATTGAAAAAACAGCAACAAGCAAAATAATAAACATACAATCAGCATGGTTTATCGCTTTTTATCTCTTGTTGTTCATATAGAACTCAAATTCTTCAATATTCATCCAAACAACACTATTTTCCTATTTTACACACTACAATGTGAAACATGTACTAGTATTGTTTTTGGGACTCAATTATCTTAATCACAACTTTATATGTCTTTTACATTCTGTTTTCCTGATGGTTTCACATTCAGATAACATTCTAGTAAACAATCAGATGGTAGATATAACTGCATGGGTGATTGCACGTGGTCAACACAGCATGTAAAATAAGGAGCAGACATGCAATTTGAGGGAACTTTTGTTGGAGCATAATGTTCGGAAATAGCCTTATAATTCGACACTAATAAACACAACCTTCTTAGATATAAATCATGAAAAACACACGTATATTGATTCACACTACGCAATCTTTGGAGTAACAAGTATCTTAATACACACACATATCCCTTTGCCTGGATGGATGTCCTCGCCTGATCCACAAGCATCACTTCCCCCTGGTTTGGGCGTAGGGGAGTGCCCTGTCGGTACCGTGCGATTCTAAAGTGCACCCGTCATTCTCTGAGACAAAGGGAGCAAACCACTCTCCCATCTCGGACCGCCGCAAAGCGGGACCCTGCAAGGCACACCTCCGTCTTGAAACATGTGCCTTCCTCGGAGGTTTTAAGGAGACCTCCAGGAGGCCTAGGGTAGGCTTAAAAATTGGACGGAATGTTTCCACGGAGTGATTCTTTCCACGGAGTGATTCCTCTCGCAGGCCTTCCGTAGGCTTTGGTAATCACTTCTACCTCACTAGACGTTCCATTGGGTTATATTTGACGTCAAAAAGCTTAAAATCCTTAGGGAACGTCAAATCCTTAGAAATCTGAAGGGCCGCGGAGCATAAGTAGCAGGACGCCAGTCCGTTTGTTCCTTCATTGTTCGTGCCCAGATCAATTAAGTGGCTACGAGTGAGAGAGTGAGTGGAAGTTCAGTGGGAGGAGGTGGAAGAGGTGGAGGTGTTTTGATCAAGAGTAAGAGGAGTGTGGCATCATGAATTTTTTTCAGTCGTTGAGTTGGTTAATTCATTGTGAGGAGATCAGATGGTGTTGTTTAATGAATTGTGAGCAGACTGTAATGCGTCTGCCGCTTTCTAGCGGAATGACTTAGCTGCTTTAGCGTCGTTGAATGCGAGGGAGTCGTAGAGGTGGATTGAATCTGCACAGTTCATCATTCGAAAGTATCGTGTGTCTTGATGTGTGCGTAAACCAGAGATCAATGTTGTTTGAAGTCGATAGCTCCGTTAGCAGCAGTGCATGAACTCGACGGTGTTCGAGACTCCTCAAGCATTCAATGCCGTCTCTAGATTTATGTGTGTACCAGACAGCTACCTCATCAGAGATCGATGGTTTCGTTGAAAAGAACGTTGGAACCGCACGCAACTGATGATTGGCAGGATCGGTCGTCATGTGTTGGAACGGCTCCCAGAGCGCGTCAACTGAATTCACTTTGGTTTGCCGGAAAGTAGGACAGACCCTGCCGACTGCTAACTGGGTTTGTGGTGTGAATGTAGGTGTGGCCATGACTGCGGATCACGTCCGAGACTGTGGAGGTAGGCTATTGGGAGTGGCAGCCAGCATGGGCCGTTGTGTGATGGACCTGTGCATAGGCACGAGCTGTGCAGGTTTGGCTGCTGCTGGTGACAGCATGTTGTGTTGCCTGAGACAGTCGCAAGCGAGGCCGAGTGTGAGATCGTGGGACATCGATGGGGGATTGCAGGGTCCCGCTTTGCGGCGGTCCGAGATGGGAGAGTGGTTTGCTCCCTTTGTCTCAGAGAATGACGGGTGCACTTTAGAATCGCACGGTACCGACAGGGCACTCCCCTACGCCCAAACCAGGGGGAAGTGATGCTTGTGGATCAGGCGAGGACATCCATCCAGGCAAAGGGATATGTGTGTGTATTAAGATACTTGTTACTCCAAAGATTGCGTAGTGTGAATCAATATACGTGTGTTTTTCATGATTTATATCTAAGAAGGTTGTGTTTATTAGTGTCGAATTATAAGGCTATTTCCGAACATTATGCTCCAACAAAAGTTCCCTCAAATTGCATGTCTGCTCCTTATTTTACATGCTGTGTTGACCACGTGCAATCACCCATGCAGTTATATCTACCATCTGATTGTTTACTAGAATGTTATCTGAATGTGAAACCATCAGGAAAACAGAATGTAAAAGACATATAAAGTTGTGATTAAGATAATTGAGTCCCAAAAACAATACTAGTACATGTTTCACATTGTAGTGTGTAAAATAGGAAAATAGTGTTGTTTGGATGAATATTGAAGAATTTGAGTTCTATATGAACAACAAGAGATAAAAAGCGATAAACCATGCTGATTGTATGTTTATTATTTTGCTTGTTGCTGTTTTTTCAATGATATTTCAAAATGTATAGTTGGAGTTGATGGTTCAAATTTGGTTCTGTAAGGTTACTTTAGCATCGAAAGGTTGTTAGTTTACTTGATTGTAAAGGACAAAATCATGAATCAAAACATGGAACAAAATAAAAACCAATTATTACAAAATATCTAGAATCATTAAATTTTTATAAATTGTCAACTTATTATCTTAACTTGTAAAATTATCAGTTCCTAAAAATAAAAATGTAAGAATTTGTAGTTTAGTTACAATTGTGTTTGACTTTAGTGCACACTCTTTAAAATTAAAAGCCCAAAAGTATATTTTATAAATAATTTTAGTATTAACTATATTTATAAATATATTTAATTATTTATATATATTTATATATATATATAAGGTATAAAATCTCAAGTTTCATTAATTTAAATAATTGTTATTAGTTGAATTCATATACATACATGTACAAAATAAACAAAAGTAAATATTGACATATAATTGTGGTATGTAATATATATATATTATAAATTTTAAATATATTATTAATATATAATATATTTATTTTAAAAAATTATTATTTGTTTTTTACATATTTATCATCAATATTTTTTAGAATATTACTATAATTATATATTTTTTAAATATGCAAAGAGCCAAATGTCAAATACTTGACAATCAATTGGTATATAAAATATTAGATTGAATGTGAATATTATATCATGTATTCTAACTAGTGCCATTTAATTTAGTCAAAAAATAGTTTAGAATTATTAAAAAATATTTTAGAATTTATTAAGTTGAAGGATTTGAGTTCTATATAAATAATAATAATATCTAAAGATACTTGTACTATTTTTGTTACTTAAATTTAAGTATAAACATAAATTTTTTTAATGTGAGCTATAAATATTTTATAAAATATATTTTTTATAAAAAAAATATAATAAAATTTAATAATAATTATAATACAAGAGTCTCAGAAGATATTTTGAAATGATGACTAATCATTTTATTTGTTTATTAAATTGATGTATAGTAGAAGAAATATTCATATAGTAAAAAAAAGGTTTTTATTTTACAAATCTCTAAATTAGTTACCATTATAAGTAATAAAAGTTGTAACATAATTATTTATAATTGTCAATTTAGAAAAGGCTTTGGCTACAAAAATATTCCAAGTTATTATATACACATCCATTTTGTCTATGCATATATTTAAGGCTTTTAATTGGCTCATCCATATTTATTTATTTATTTATTTTTCTTTTGGTATGGATCTTTGTTCCTACTATCTTTTCTTTATTCAAATGCAGGTCTTAGCTTTCTTTTTCTTTTTCTTGCATGGATCCTAGCTTCTTTCTTCTATTCCTTGACTTAGTGCAAGTTTTGTTGCCTCTCTTTCCAAATAGCATAAGTTGGCACTTCTATGTATTTAACTCCTTTCTTATGTCTCCTACTTCTCACTACTTCTTTACTATTGTTTTATAGCTTCTAGAAAGTGCTTGAAGCTTCATTATATTTGAAGGTGGTGGTTTGAATTTTGTCAATGAACATATAAAAAATTATTTACAAAGAGGATTGTTTTTTGGATTTTAATTACTGCATTAATAATATAAAAAAATTATAAATTTTTTTGCTTATAATTTTTATATTTTTTTTGTTTTATTTATTAACAAAACTATTTAGAATTGACAACTATAAGTTAAATTTTTTGATTTTGTCATGAAAAGCGTGTTTGGATAGAAACAATGAGTAGTATAAGAAATGAATTGAATTAATGCTTTAGGATTTGTTCAACTTTAAAAGGCAAGACATAGAGAGAGGCAACATTGTTTTAACAAGTCATACATTGGCTTAGTTTTAGCTATAGTATTCATTGTTGAAGAGATCTTACAATATAAAGAGTAATACAAGCTTTGCTAATAATAGTGGTAGAATAAAAAAGATTATTTTAAGTTATATGTATGTTGAAATTTAGATCTTCATCAACTTCTCAGTTATCACCTTTGATAAATATATTTTCAACAAACTTATGTACAACTAACCATTCTCTACATTAGTCACTATGATATATATAGCTTTTCTATTTGGACTTACATTTTTACTTGTGTACATGTTCAAGCTCATAAAGCCTTATGCAACAATGATAATAGATCTCTATATGTGATATATTGTCTCTATTGGATTTCTCTTCTCTCTCTTGCTTTGATTTTTAAATTCAGCTTATATTTATTTCAATAATAATTCAAAATTTTGACATACGTATAACTTAACATAATTTTGGTGACTACATCATTGTATTTGCTTGATTTAAACTTAAACAACTCCACTATCCTTTTTACAATCTTAATAAGCACATTAAAATCGAGTTCAAGATATTACAAGCAATCTGGATCAAATAAGTGTTTGTTTTATTTATATATAGTAAGGCCTTGCTTAAGCACAACTACTACCTTACAGATAAGGTATTTTTTACTTCTATGGTACTGAAGCCTCATTGCCTTATTGTGCTAATTGAATGCAAGTGCCATTATCATAACCTCTAGAATGAGTTACATACAATTTGAATTTAGATGGATGAACGATTGAAAGCATCTTTGCTAAGTTGAAAAAATTTGGTACTCATTGGAGCAAGGATGAGAGAAAAGAAGAACTATGATCTATATTTAAAAAAAAAAAAAAGAAAAAAAAAGGGCTAAAATCCATGTTGGTGCAAAAAAGAAAGAGAAGAGGTTGAGACTTACACCAAAACAAAGAAAAGAATGAAAGAAATAAGGACCTATGTTGGGACAAGAATAAAGAGATTTAGATGAGCTAATTAAATACCTTAGATGTATACATAGATATAATGGGTGTATATATAGAAATTTGGAATGTATTTGTAATTTGAATCTTTAAAAAAAAATTATAGTTTTTTATTATTAATTTTTATTAATAAAGTAAAAAAAATATTTATTTTTACTTATTTCAAAGATTCTTTTATTAAATAAAAACTTTTATTATATTAATTTTTTAAAAAGATAGAATTTAATTTAATATATGTATAAAAAATTATATATTTTTTAATATTAGATATAATTATTAGTTTTTTTTATATTTATGATTTAAAATAGTATTATCTTAAATATTATGATTAAAATATAAAAATTATTAGTAATTTTCTAAAAAAACTTACAAAAAAATTGACATCTTTAGTGTGTAGATTATCAAACATTAATATATATCATTGTAGCTAATAATGTAATTTATTAATATTATAAAATTATCTTTATTAAGATTAATAAAGATAGTATGTAAAAAAATACTTATAAAGCTCATAATATTTATTGATATTATTAATAAATAATAATTATAATTTTTTTATTATTATTAAGATAATATTTATCTTGAATAAGATCTATGAATTATTTTATTAGAGATAAAAATTTAGGAAATATGAAAAATCAAGTAATATTTTTTTTAAAAAAAGATGATAAAAATAAATGAAGTAAATATGAATATTAAAAAAAAAAACTAAAATTACTTCTAATAAATATTAAAAAGCTAGAAATTCTTGAAACTACAGAAAAAGTAATAAAGAAATTGATAAGAGTAAAGAAGGTCTCACTCTTTGTTCTATATATATTATTTTATTATAATATATATGAAAATATTTTATGAAACCTCTAATGTATAAGATATTTCAGCATATTTGAGCATTGCCTTAAATCTAAGACTTCTTTTATCTTAAATTCTTGATTGTTGTCTACTTTTATGAAAAGAAGTGGTATTTGTTGTCTTTTCAAGATATTCACTTGCAAGGCTCAAGAAGAAATACATAGAATATATAATGGATCTTCATAGATTTTGGTAAATGAAATCAATATACGATATGATTAATTTTTTTATAATTAAGAAATGATTCAAGTCTATAATAGTCTAATTTATTATAAAAAAAATATTCTTTATATTATAATAGAATAATTATACCTCATTGCCAACTTAAAATTGAGGTTGTTCTTTATAATAAACATCAAAATTGATCTATTGTTGTTCTTCACATTCCTTTAATTTTACTTTTATTATTACATATACCTCCAATAGATGTTTTGCCAAATCTTCAACTATAGGATTATTAACTTTTGTAAAGTCAAAAGTATCAAGTCAAGGATGATAACCATAATTTGTATAGAAAGATGATTGTTGAATAGATGAATGTATCATAATTTTGTAGGTAAATTTTACTAAAAATAGAAAAATTATTTAATCATCTTAATTATAGTTAATAATATATTTCAAATATTATTCTAATACTTAATTATTTTTTTTTCCATCAACTTGAAGATAGAAAATCAAAGATAATTTTATATCTATCTTCAATATCTTAAAAAGAATTCTCTAAAACTATAATACAAATTAGATCCATCTATCCTATATAATATTTTTTTAGTAATCTATGATATTAATAAATATTTTTAAAAAATAATTTAGATATTTTTTATTTGTAATTAATTTTATATATAATACACAATGTATTATATTAGTGAAATAATCTACTATTATAAATATAAAATCATATAAATTTAAAATTAAAATATCCATGATAAAATCTATAAAAATAAAAGACTATTCTTATTTTGATATAATTAGTAGTTGATGAAGTCCATAAAATTGATGA